TTTATAATTTATAGGCTCTAAAGTTCAACAAAATCGATAAACCCACACAAATTGAATGTAGCCATGAATATGCGTGTCTCTAGTCAATTAAAAAATAAATTCAACCCACACCTACGATCCAACTGAGAAATAAAGCTCCAAACAATGAGACTAATCCAAGCAAGAAGAAAGAAGAACACAAAACATTCAGCCAAACTAAAAGATAATACGAGAAAAGAATTAGTGGATAAACAAACTAATAGCGACTCACTGTAACCCATTATACGGTTCCCAGGGGCCTCTGCAACATGGAAGTAATCAGGCCATCTTGCTAAGTAGGTCATATAGAAAGACATGTTGAACTGCAAAAAAGAAAAGCCGAAGAAGATTGCATCAACATCGACAAGATTCAGAGTGCATTTAGAAACCGGAAAACCATTTTCAAATCAGAAGCTGAAATTGAAACAGAGAAAAGTTACAGTTTCCGTGAGGTGATCGAGATTGACGGAAGTGAATCGAAGCAGATCATTGCAGCAAAATCTGCGTAACGTCGTCATAGCTTTTTCTCTCACCCTGTGTCCGTAAATGCTCTGTTCTACCTTTCCTCTTCACCAGAGAGGATTTTGTTGTTGAAATGGGCCAAAAGCCCATACAAAAGAGTGTCCAGTTTTGGACGTGAAATTCCATTCTAGTCCTCCCTTCTTAGGCCTTATTTAAAAAATATATTTATTTCAAATAATTTTTAATGTATAATTGCAATTTTCAATATAAATTTTATTAAAATTATAAAACATCTAAATAAATCCAGCAAAAGTAAATTTCAATATTACAAGTCTTTCACATTATATATATATATATATATTTGTTTTTATCATGATAATAATTTTTTTTTAAAAAAAACTATAATTTAAGTGAGTGTTAAATATTTTGGGCTGGAATATAAAATGTAATTATGTTTAAAAGTAGGGACTAAAATGTAATTCACATTCATAATTGAAGCTCAAGCTAGAGGAACAAATCATAAAGAAATTTTGTTCCTCTCGTCTAATTAGATTACGGAAGTAAGCCCTAACAGAGATTCCGGCGAGATAGAACCAGAATAGAATCAATGGATCTCCTCAAGCAAGAACTTCTCAAGAAACGTCAAGCCCTAGCTACTGAAACCGGCGGCAAGCGCGTCTTCAAGCGATCCGAGATCGAACAGAAGCAAATCCAGCAGCTGCGAGAGAAAGAGAAGCGCGAATTGGAAGCTAAAGCTCTCCGCCAATCCTCCACCTCCTCTCCCAACGCCGAGGCCACCTCTGCATCTTCCAAATCCAATTCATTAGCCTCGGCCTCCGCCACTTCCTCCTCTGCTGCAATCAATTCTACCGCCACCACTTCGAAATCCGTAACTGACGAGCAGAACATCGACAATCTCGTCCTTCCCAGACAGGAAGTAATCCGGAGACTCCGGTTTCTGAAACAGCCCATTACGCTTTTCGGGGAAGATGACGATGCTCGGCTCGACCGTTTGAAGTTTGTGCTGAAAGCGGGGCTTTTCGAGGTGGATAGTGATTTGACCGAGGGACAAACCAACGATTTTCTTCGGGATATTGCGGAGTTAAGGAAGCGGCAGAAGACGGGGATTTTGAGCGAGAGGAAGAGGCAGAAGAAGGAGGATGGTGCTGGGGAAGAGGGAGATGGAGGTGGGGCTGATGAAGATAGTGCCGATGGTGGGTCGAGTGGGGCCGACGCTGACAAAGATTTGAAGAGAATCAAAGCCAATTTTGATGAGTTATGTGAGGAAGATAAGATATTGGTGTTTTTTAAGAGGTTGTTGAACGAGTGGAACCAGGAGTTGGATGAAATGCCTGAAGCCGAGAAGCGGACAGCCAAAGGGAAGTCTATGGTAGCAACATTCAAGCAGTGTGCTCGTTATTTGCATCCTCTGTTCAAGTTTTGTAGGAAGAAGGTACAATTTTTGTCCCTTAAACTTCACAGTCGATTTGTTGAATGTTCCTTTTTCGTGATGATTCTGCATCATTATATCTTTAGGCTTCATGGTAGGTTCGAGAATAACCAGAGCATCTTTTTCTTCTTTTTCTTTCTTATTTCGTTTGCTCTGCTAGTGCTCTGGTGAAAAGGTTCCCCTGCGAGCATGTAGATTTATACAGTGATGTTAGTGATGGCTACATAGAATAAGCATGCATATCATTCGTCTTAAACTCATTGATACATTTTGCATTTCAATTGGTCTTGGGAGAGGCACCAATTTGGAATTATTTTTTGATTAGTTCTGTTAGTCTTGATACTCTCACGAGAGAGCTCCCACAAGAAAAGCTCAACTTCCTTTTGATATATTTCAAGTGACTTATCACCTTTAAAGATTGGGATCTTTGGAATCATACGTTCACTATATCCTTGAGTAAGGAGTTGCAAGAGGAGGGGAGAAAACCCTGTACGGTCAAACGGCCAAATTCATTTATTGGAAAACACAAAGTAGATATGGGAGAGAGACCCACTCTTTAGTTTCAGATCCAAAAAAATGAGGAAAAAAAAAAAAAATCTAAAACCAGGGTGTCCTAACTTCAAGTAGAGAGGTTCCAATTTGAGACAGAGGATCTCCTTGGGTAAGCGTTTGAAAGTGGATCATTACCCATCCAAAAGTTTGTAGGAATGTCATTCCAATCGACACTTTGATCCTATTGGAGATTAACTCTTTTTAATTGACAATAGGTCACCAATTGGTAATCATCTTTAGAAGTGTGTTGAGAAGTAGATACTGACGATAAACCATTACTTCATTTATCAGATCGACGTTTTTACAATTACAGCGTTAGGACTATGGCCAGCTGTTTAGATGGTTGCTGACTGTTGTGTGAAGGTGACTGCCTCGTCCTAATTGGCGATGAATTATATGATACAAGTTTACAACTTATTGGGTCAACCGAGCATAATTGAATTACTCAAGTCATATACATTCGACCAAGAGATCGGAGATTATAGCTTCTCAATTGAGTATCTTGTAAGATTTCCTTTTTAGCAGATAATTTTCATTAACGTATTATTAAAATTTTATTTTAGGTTCTTCCCGACGATATTCGGCAAGCATTGTTGGTAGTTGTTGAATGCTGCATGAAGCGAGACTATCTAGCTGCCATGGATCAATACATTAAGATGGCTATTGGAAATGCCCCCTGGCCTATTGGTGTCACTATGGTTGGTATTCACGAACGTTCAGCTCGTGAGAAGATTTACACTAACAGTGTGGCCCATATCATGAATGACGAAACGACAAGGAAATACTTACAATCAATCAAGAGATTGATGACATTTTGTCAACGGCGCTATCCAACAATGCCATCCAAGGCAGTAGAATTTAACAGCTTGGCAAATGGTAGCGACCTGCAGTCCCTGCTAGCCGAAGAGAGAGTTTCTGGAGGAGGCAAGCAGGGATCTGATGAACGGCTACGAATCATGCCCGCCCCTGAAGATAGCTAAGCAAGTTACAATATCCTCTCCTGGCTGCTATTCTTTACAGTCTTCATGATACATATAATCTAAATCTCCTCAGCATAGTTTGGTAGTCATTGAGCCAATTTCTGATTACTGTTTGAGATTTAAATCTATGGACGGCTTAATACTTGCTATCAAAACGTTGACGAGGATTTGTCGACAGTGTTTTCAGGCCATAGAATTCAAGAGCTTTGTGAACAGTTTGACCTGCAGTCCCTGCTAGCAGAAAAGAATCTGGACAAGGCAAGCAGGGTGTTCCAACGAAGTGGTTCGAAACACGTTCGCCCCAGAAGATCGTTACCTACCTGGTAAGAAGAACCTCTCCTAGCTGCTATTCTGTGGGCGAACATCGTTACCTACCTGGTAAGAAGAACCTCTCCTAGCTGCTATTCTGTGTCTGTAATCTGTATGATATCTGAATACTGATTGAGATTTTGAAGTCTTTCAACGTTCTTAAATTATGGAACAGTGCTTCAGAACCTTCTATTTTGTTGCCTTTACTGAGGTAGGCAATTGATGGCAGTGTCAGGATGACAAGCAAGTGCAGTAGGAATAAATAAAGTCACTATCACTGTAGTGGATTGGGATTCCCAACTGAAAGGTGTTTTCTTTTAATTTAGAAAAATATTTGATAAATCTGTAACTTTTAATTTCGTGCATAAAATTCTTAATATATTTTTATTAATTTTTAAAGGTACAGAGTACAAAAAAAATAAATTTTAAATTCATATATTGTTTTTTGTGCATTTATTTAATTAAAAAATAATGATCGAATATTGGGAAGGAAAATGAGAGCGGAATAGACTGAGAAGGACCTGCGGAATAATTATGAGAATATGCACGTAAGCACCAGGTGTCGGATTTGTTTTAATATTCTATTTATATTTTATAATAATTTTTATATTTTCTTTCATAAAATATTTGAATTCGACTTAAAATTTAAAATGACATTTTTTTTATTATTCAGAAAGTTGATTTTATTTTTAAAAACATTTCATCTAAACAAATGAATGAAATTGAGCGTAATTATTTTAAATAAAACACTAAAAGATTATCGAATTTTCAACATATAAAATAATTTTAATTTTTTGAAAATATAAGGATATATTTTGGATTTTTTAAAAAGTTGCAGGTGGTATTTAAATTTTTAAAACTTTTATAAAGTATTTTTATTAATTTAAGAAATATTTTTTGAAAAATGATTTTTTAGCGTTAAAATAATGTTTTTGGACGGCTAAAAGTGGTTTCCATGAAAGTATGGAAAAGAAAAACTGCACATCAAATGTATCCCCACGTGGCATAATGTGGGCGCCAAATCTAATTACCTCATAAATATAAATATTTTTTTGTACTTTCGAAAAAACGAAAAAAAAAAAAGATAAAAAAGGAAGTGACGTCATGTTCCTAATTTTAAAGGATTTATTTATTTAATATTCATTATTTTTTTCTCGTTTCCCCCACAAAAACTATATATTAAAAAGAAAGAACAAAAGCTCAGTAGCCCCGTCTTTGGATGATCTCACCCAAGGTATCACGTTTTTTCCATGCTATCTACTTTCTCAGCCCTTATTCCAAAACTCACACTGACACGTGGCACTCACAGGCTCGTCCGTATTCCTACTTCTCCTCCTCCTCTTCTCCCTCTGCTCTCTCCCGTGTCCACCCGCTGATGCTATGGATGCTCTCTTTCAAGTCCAAACCTCGGCACCATCAACCATGGCGAAGCGCCCGTGCCCATCCCAAAACCCTAGAGTACCGACCTTCACTCAGATGGACCTTCTTCTCGATGCCTTTTTGGGCCTTTCCGACTCCCCTTCCATCTGTATCGACTTCTCATTCGAGAGGCTTCTCGACTCCTTGCCATCTGACTTGGATCAGTCTCGCCTCATCGATCGCGCTCTTAAAATGGGCAACTTCTTGCTCGAGGCTAGCAAACGCTCTGCTCGGAAACGAGCTACCAAGCATAACTCAGTCGTTTGGGCTCTTCCTCCTGACCTCACCATCAAAGTATGTTTGTCTTTGGTTCTTCTTTCGTTGTCGAAACATTTGAAATCGTTTGAACTGTACTGCGGCTTGGAATTGCATTGGATTTATCGGTTTTGGAAATGAGTGCTCTTGTTCTTGAATATTGGATTTGTATTATTTTAATATATGATTTTCGTTGTTTGATTTTGTTGTGTCCAATGTCGAATGTGCTTAAATTGTTTTCTGTTAGAATTTGAGCGAACTCGAAGCAAGCTTGCAGTCAGGAATGTCTTTGAGAGTGAGATGTTAGTTTGGTGATGATGTGAATATAATTTTCCCAGCCCTAGTCCTATATGTTCATTGGCAATAGGTAGAGATAATATGCATAGTTTAGTTCATATTTTTGTATGGGCGTAATCGAGCTGTTAGGTTAAGACATCAAAGGTATTTTCGAGTCGAGGTTAGAGTATTGTCCCCATGAGGCAGAGCTACCGCCGGTGTTAGGGGCTGCTTTAACCGAAGACCATGCTTATAATTTTTTCATTTCGAGATGGGACGTCATTATTACTAGGCTGACCCTCTTCAACTCATCATTATGTCATTTATGGTTGGTTCCGTTTTGTGCTCTAACATCCGTAACGGTTGATGAAAATATGTTGGGTTTTTATGGTGTGCATGACGATGAACTGTGGCTTTTCAGGTTTTTTCCATGCTTGACGCACAGAGTCTTTGCTATGCAACAGCTACTTGTTCAATGTTTCACAAGTGTGCAATGGATCCTTCCTGCTATGCCAACATTGACTTAACAACAGTTTCTCCAAGAGTTAATAATGCAGTGGTTTCTACAATGATCCATCGAGCTGGAAACTCTCTTCAGTAAGATATTTTCTATTAAAAGTTCACTATCAAATCTTCATAGGCTGAATTTGAATGCGGTAATATATACATTGAGGATCTGAAACAGAAGGATTCATACTTGATTAAGCTCATTAGCGATGTTGTACTGATGAGGTCTTTGAATTGTATCTTTCGGCCAACATAGTTATACATTTTGCATTAGACTTTTTTTACTATTCTCTACCCAAGTATGGATGATGCTGACTGTCTAAGCTGAGGCAAGGAATTTTGTCTTTCCTAATCTTGGTGTCACCCACCATCTCTTTCATAATGTTAGTGTCTGGGGAAGATGGTAAATTTTTCCCTCTGTGGTCTGATATTATTCAAATTCTGTTCTTTTCACTTATTAAATGAAAAAGAAGTCTGAATTTCCCCACCCATATGATTAATTTTATAATGTTAGTTTGCATTATTTACCAACCTCGTCTATTCTAGATGCTTGCACAGGCAAATGAACTAAGTTCATTGAACATCAATGCCAACTGTAATTCCTTAGTACTCTCTGATGGGAAATACGTTGATTGCATTATTTATACTTTTCTAAGCTCTGATTGACGTGGCTATTCTTTTCCCCTCAATAATTTCAGATCTCTTAAGCTTGGTATAGTTCCAGGCCCAACTGCATCCCTAGGATCTTGCCAACCGTTGGTTTACAATGTTACTAGTTTTTCATGGAATGACAAAAGATCCAGACAAGGGAAGGAGTCATCAGTTCTCACAAGATCCTGCTTAAGCCCTTTGGGTGGTGCCAGTACTCCTGGGTATGGGCTTACTTTTGAAGTTGAAAATGTGCTCATTGTGAGTTCTGTTTCTGAATTGTTAAATTTTATAGGATGCTCTTGAGAACGTTGCATCTTTACAATATTGAAAGAATGGATAATCCATCACTCCGTGGTGCATTTTCTGCTTGCCCGTCTCTCCTTGATCTGGAAATTGTGGGCCTGTAAGTTTCTTTAGTTGACTGATTTTGTTGTTTTTTTATTAGTTTTAACTGGAAAATGATATTTTTGTTTAAAATGTTTATACTGGTGAACTGTGATTCAGATTCAACCTTTAGTAAAAATACAGGACTAAGATTTCTTTAATTCCTGCCCTGACGCATCTCAACTTTTCTCTTGATATCTCTGATTCTTCACACTTGTTCTTGTCATTTTTCAATAGTTAATTCATTAAAAATAATTCTCTTCAATAAACTCTGTTTTTTAATAAACAATTATAGCAATCATTTCCCCCCAATAGGTTCTTGACCCATCTCGGTGTATGGTGCTTTTAACTGGATGATAGTATGTTTTCTTCTTCTTAAGATTTAATGTTCGGTTAAGGACATGGTAATTGCTAACATATTCGGAGAAAATGCTCTCTCTGAAAATTAAATTCATTCTCTGCTTCTTTTTCATGCCCACTCATTTGGGTTACTCTTATTTATGAATCGTAGTTAATAATCCACATCCTTTATTGAACAGTCATGTGGAGTTGAGACAGACATTGACATCTGTGATTGAAAACTGTCAATTTATAGAGCGTTTGTTCTTTGAATCCTCAAAAACAGGTTTAACATCTATCTCACTTGATATCCTCGTTTTATTCTTCATAGCCATCCGCTTATTCATTGCTATTTTGAAAATGACAGGTAGAGATGATAGCTTGAAATCACCGACATGTGTTGATCTAGTTCAAAAATGTCCTCGTATAGTGTCTTTAGCCCTTAGAGGATTTAAACTCCATGATTATAAAGTTCGCATTCTTCTTAAGGTAATGTCTGCATGTACAAGGAATTTGGTGATGCATACATACAAAATCATTTCCCTTTCTGATTTTAGATTCTTATATTGCAACAATATTTAACTAAGAATTTAACTACTTCGATGCCTAATTATTCTGAATTTAGGACGTTATCTTTGAAGTATGCCATGTAGAACATTATTTTAAAAAAAATATATATAATAGGTAATCTAAATAAGTTGTTTTGCTTTTCATTTACCTAGTTTTTTCACTGGAATATTTTGTGTTCCATCTCATAGGATAATTGCAATTTTCTTGTACCCACTCATTTGGCTCTTATCATAATTGGACTTATTTTCTGTTGGTAGTGGATTCTTCAACTTGACATCCTGTCTTCTCCTCCTTTTATCATACTTGGACTAATGTTCTATTGTGGGGGTTGTGAAAGAGAAAAGCACCTTGCATGGTGAGAGAAAGACACTGCCCTTCTTTTTTCAAATTGGCACAAAAGCATTTAAGAAATCAGAATTTTCATGTCTAGATCCCTAAAAATGTTACAAATTTTGTGTTTAGATCTTTTATTTCTCCCTTTTTTTCTAATCCTTTTCACATATTAATTAAAATTATTTCTTTCTAGAAAAATGAAACAAACGAAGAATAAAGTTTTACGTGTTTTAAGCTTTGTCCAATCCATGATGTGTATTTGTGTCAATGCTTTTGGATCATACTGGTGCACTTAGTATGGGGCATGGGGGTTTGAAATGTGGCTTGTATTGAGCTCTATTTTCTTTCATGTTAGTCTTATGGTTATGGTATTGTCTTTAGTACTTTATTCTGCTTGTTTGATGATTGAATTATAAATATGGTTTTGAGTCTTCGATCATAATTCTGGAGAAGGTATTTGAGAATAAATTAAAGGCAATAGTAAGAAGATCTTTCAAATTTAGGCGAAGGATTTCTTCAAAATATTTTTATAGGAATTGGAATTTATATTATTTTATGAAAAGAAGGGAGACGAGGAGCCCCCCACGAATTCCAAGTTGGCAAAAATCTGCTAGAACTTGTTATTGCGGAATTCCTTGAAAAGGGAACCAAGAGATCAAGAAAAATCTAATTAGATCCCTTCAACTCATGACCATTGGAAGCTACTTGAAAAATTCTTGGATTTTCAAATCAAAGCCTCCAAAGGATTTCTTCCAAAAAGAAAAAAAGAAAAGAACAGAAAGCCGCCATAGGGTTGCCATAATGGCATTGGACCAAATGATAAATGATATTAGCCTTCTCTTCGGAAGGCTGCCCGTATAAGAATTGATTGAGAATCATACTACTATTCTTAGGGAAACATCAGCACATGTTGAAAAGATGAAAAATGTTTCTTCATCAATCAGCTGCAAAGGAGCATTGAAAAGAAAAGGTATTTTTTTATCATTGTTTTGACTAAGAGTGCGCCAGTCAGGGTAGAGGGCACAATGGGGAAACCTTATTGGAACTCTATTTTAGATGCCTAGCTGATCTTGAGCAACGACTGAGGAAAAGAGGACCTCTAGCTTTCCATATTTCCTTAATTAATTAAACCTCTAGCTTTCCAAATGTCCTTAATTAAACCTGAAGCTAATCCGAGAAATCAACACTACTCTCAGGAGCCCAGTAGACAATTGGAACTCTTAATCATGTGGTTCCTTGTGCCATTGTCGTCCATAAAAAAACATCACGTGTATAGCTGATTTGCTTGTGTAGGTTGGTTCTTTCATGACCTCTTTTGGCCATTGTTGGTGATGGTTGTTTCAAATACTCTTGTATCGTGTACTCTGTGGAATTTTTAATCTCAGTAAACTTATCTCTTTGAATACTTTTCCAGGGACTTCGGAAGCTAAAATATGTTGATTTTTCAACGTCTTACTCAATTACTGGAAGCTTTCTTAGGTAACTATCCTCTTTGGATTGTTCCTATCTATAATAATTTTTTGATGCTTTGAATAGTTAAAAAGAACATCTTTTTTTTCCTCAGAAACCTTGGCAACAGTATAGGTGGTAATTTATTGGAGGTCTTAATTTTAAGAGATTGTATGCATCTCAAAGAGGTCAGGATCATTTATTATTTTGACACCTCATTTCCCAAACATTGTCGTAAGCCTTTAATTTCTTCACATGCAGGTGGAAGTTGCTCGTTTCATGACATCATTACTTGCTGGAGATTTCAAGTTTCTTCGACATCTTGTGAGTAGATGGAAATTGACAATGGTTTTCTTCTGAATGGCTGGTTAAATGTTCAAAATGACATTTAATTGAATAATACCATATTCATTAAACAGGATATATCCAATAGGGAAGGATTGGCATCTGAGGGTGATTGGTATGAGAGATGCTACAATTCAAGGTGATATTTCTTTTAAAAAACCTCTCTATAAGGTTCAATATTTGTTTGGATATTCCCCTGAAAGTCAACTTTCATCCTTCCTTTTGGTTATAGTTTTAACTATTTAGTTATCGTCCTCTTAATTAAGAAAATATTGGTTTAGGCTTCTACGGTACTGAGATTTTATCAACTGGTACTTATTGACCATTTTGATGGACAGGATCATTCCAATTGAGCAAGTAATAAAGGAAAGGCCTGATGTATGCTTGCTGGCTGATTTTCCATCAGAAGGGAGGTAATCACTGGTTAGGATTGTTGTTGAGGGTATAATAGTCATATTTATTGGTGAGTTTGTTACTAGAAAGCCAGATATATTGATGAAGTGGAAATGGATTAAGGCAGAATTTGTTAGTGTTTTGGTAGAGAGCTGAGTTTCTATTATCTACTAACCCTTTTTTTTTCTTTTACATTTTTTTTTAAACAAGCAACAAATTTTCATTTGATTGATGAAAAGAAGCAAAATTTGTTCAAGATACTCCCAATGGAAGAGAAAAACCAGAAAATGAAGCTAGTAAGAGAAAACGAATGCAACCCAAGCAGACAATATCGTTAAATGCATAATTATCAAACAAAGAACACCGTTAAGAAGACTTAAGCTTGACCTAAACAAAATGCTTTCTCCAAGAAAAGAACTGACTTTCTTGTTTTCAGAATAGTTTTGGACAGGCTTCTGGATTTCAGAGAGATGAAATTTTAATGAATCGAGCAGCTAGGTTTTACCAATACATTTTTGGTGGCTTGAGGGATGAATACAAAAGGATAAGGTTCTGTAAACCAAAATACTGCCAAACTGAAACTCCCAACTGATTAATGGCCAACTAAAAATGCAGCTGTGCCAAGTATGAAATAAAACAGCTTGTTCAAAGAAGGAAAACAGAGTAGTTAAGCCAAATCATAACGGGCAGAACACTTCATTGTTGATATAATTAAGGTTAGGGATGGTATGATAGTCCTCTCAATTCTGGCAATATTGGAGTGAAGTTTGGTGAGATTGGAGCTAAGTTTGGGAATTATTGCAGGAGCAATTCAGAATTGCTTAGATCCAGCATAATTTAGGTACATATTGGCCGGTAAATTAATTATGGGTTGGGAAAAATGCAAAAGTAGAAGTATTTTGGAGGAATGGGTATGGAGGTATACTGGTATATATATTTCGGATCTGTTTCGACATTAGATATTGACTTTTGGGGGGTGGGGAAGTAATGTTTGGATTTGAGAGTCTAATAGTCATACTAATTGGTTAGTTTGGTTTTGTTATAGTAAAGAGTGAGTTATTGGGATAGTGATTAGGAGACTATGGGAAAATAGTATCCAGAGAGATAGAAGCCAAATAAATGTGTAAGAACTCCTTGTAATTTTCCTTTTCTAAATTAATAAGAATCAACATTTTCTCATAATTTTCTATTCATATTCCGGTCCCTGTCATCTCTCCTTTAGAAGTTTATGGTTGACTTCCTTCCAAGCATTTCTAATTGTGTATTTCTTTTCTGTTTTGCCTTGGGATCTCTTTGCAGTTACTTCGAAATTGAACAGATGCTGGAAAGCGAAATAAACAGTGATATTAGCCTGCCGTCACAGCTGAGCAATCAAACATCTGATTCGATGTTTATAAGTTCTTCAGAAAGCAGCTATAATAGTGATCAAGGTAGTGGCAATGAGGATGGCCGAGATGCCAGCTATGTAATATTTGAGGAGAGCTCAGACGAGGTGGATTTTCTTGCCCTGTAGGAGGAGAAGTTTTAAGCAAGCGCTGGTAATCGCAGCAACCAAATGAATTCGGTAAAGAGACTCTCTTCTCCATTCTTCCAAATGCACACATACACTTGAATATAAGTAATAGTGGTATAAGATTTGTTCAAATGCGTCCACAATTCTAGTTTGGTATTGTGTTGCAGGAAACAAGTCAAGGCGATACCACCTCGTTCTCTTCCACGATAAACCTGCCTTTATTGTCGACGTGTTGGATTAGTCAATGTTAACAAATAGGCATATCATATCTAATGTCATCATTTATTTAACGCTATAGTTATGTACGATCATTGAAGTATAGGGACTAAATACGACCATTGAACTTTCGAGTTTAAATTTGTATTCTAACCTTTAGTTTTCCATGCAGGGAGGAGCCTTCACGCATTACAATCTGTGATTGGTGCTTGGATTTTTACAGAGATTAGAAAAATTGGAACCAGTAGCCTGATTGACTTGACATCCCCATTTATTTACTTCCTGAGATACATCCAAAAGCTATATCCAGGTACCCTCCTTCCTTTCAACCCTTTCTCTAGAAGAGGAATTACAAGAATAAGAGGAGAGGAGAAGATGGGAGATTTGGTACCCTATCCCTTTCCCTTGTTATTATATCGTAGATGATCGATCGCGATCACGTATCGTCGATGTCTTGATGATGTTAATCTGGCACGAATGTAAATTTTGTTATAGCTTTTGTAGCGTTTGTACGCCGATCCCACGCAATAGGAGTTGTTGGAAGTTACTCTTCTAATTGATAACATTTTGTATGCATCAGCAGCAATTCAAATTGTGGCATTGCTCTCCTTTCTTGTATCCTTTGGTGGTTTAATGAAAGAGCAAATCAAATCTTGGTAAGGTGGTTGCTGCTGGCCAACCTCTCTCTCTTCCCTTGATTGATTGCACCTTCATTTGGCGCAATTATTATTATTGAAGCTGGGGTCTTTTTGTTTTTTTGTATTTTTTAGTTAATTATTTTATGTTGTTTTTTTTAAACGACAATTTCAACAAAAAATAATATAATTAAAAAAAAAAACTATATGTTTAAATGATTAATTTTTAATCTAATTTTCATTGAGAGATTTTTTAATATTTTAATAAAAATAATAATATTCCATATGAAATATATATATATAATTAGAATTTTCAATTCTAATTTAAATTTTAACATTACATGTATTGTTCAATTTAAATATTATAAAACATAGTATTAAATACATAAGTCTTCCATTTAAATAAATAAAAAAAAAACTATATATAATTAAAATAATAAAAAAAAATGAAATGGGGAAAATCAAGGATCAAGAATCCAAGGGCACTCTCTTAATATTTTTGCCCTTGGGATATTTTATTTCATTATATTTTTTTATTTCTCATTTTTAAAATTGGTAATTAAAACTAATTACAACCATGGCAAATACTGTTTTATGAGTATATATATATATATATATATATCAAGTATGTGAGTTTTAAATGTATGAAATAATTAATTTTTAGAAGTAAATGTTTGTTTTACCAATTTTGGATACATAAATCAAAATTAAAAAAAATTACATGTCATAATTGTTTAATATTTTTATTTAATTTAAAATTATATTTGTAATATAATACGTGTATATTTAACCAATTTAGTGGATAGAAATCTAATTATATAATTAAAATATATATATATATATATACCCGAGTTTTTTTTATTTCGTATTCTCTCAAAAAAAAAAAAAATATATATATATATATATATAGTTGCATTTACAGGTTTAATTTTTACGATTAAATGTGAAAAGCAATACGTAATAATTTACAGCTTAATTGTTTAATTAAGGTTTACAAGAATCTATACAGAAAGAAAATTTTGAAGGCCACTTGGTTAAGCAGTGGTTGATTCATTCATTCCTCCAAGCATATAAAATCAAGGAGAAATCCATACTCTGCAACTTTGAATCTTTAATTTGTTGTTCATAGTATGATGATGAAGAAGAAGACGAAGAATTTAACAGCGACGATTGGGTATGGTTTCCGCTGTTCTTGTGCGTTTGAAACATGAACACAGCACTACTACTCATGGCGGAATTCCCAAACAGCCAATTATGAACATCCCACATCACCTGCACTGGAATTCCGTCCACCACAATCGTATCATTCCCTCTAAACTTCCATTTCAATCTCTTGATTTGCATCGCCGTCTTGCTGTCGATTCGAATCACCAAACTTGGTTCCTTCAATCCTCCACTATCGCATTCGATCGACACATTGTGCGTTTCCCCTTTCTCGCTGAATCGAGCCTTCGCGTAGAACAATTTCTTCCCGAACACGTGTTCTCTTCTCGCGACGAACACCGCCGCCGCGGCGGAAACCGCGGCGATTTTCTTGGTAGATTCAGACGGCGAATCGCCGACTCGGAATATGAGCTCTCGATCGAACACCACGGCGACGAAGAATCCTTCCTCTGGCTCCGGTCCGCTGCCGAATTTGGCGTTTGTTAAGTCCCAATGTATCTCCATTTTTCTCGATTCGATCTCGAAAATCTTGGATCCTTTCTTCTTTAAGAACAGCCATGGCTTAATGTCGAGCTTACACAGGCATTGATTTGCAGAGTTTTCGATCTGAAGAGAGAAACCTTGTCCCATCAAATGCTTGGTCCATGTTAGAACGATGAAGCACAATCGGCCGCGTGATTTGCACTGGTAGACGCAGGTGACTAGATTTTGAGCGGCTTTACTGATACTCGAAGACGATGAAGATGAAGAAGAAGAAGAAGAAGAATCTGCAATTTGGACGCCATTTTCACCGAAACAAGAAGGAAAATCCTTCATAATAGCAACGAATATACCAAAAATTGACTAAGATGATTCCAAATGTAATCAATAGTATGATCTTCTGGCCGTAGCTGCAATGAAACTGAAGGTAAAATCAATTTGAAATACCAAAATTGTTGAAGAACAGGCCGTGGATCGTTGAATCTGATTTGGGGTTTCAGCCATGAGAGTATGAAATGGGGAATTTCAGTATAAAAGAGACATTTATACAAAAGGAAATTAGGATTATTTTTTTATTTTTTTTTTTTTGGTTAAGAAAACAATTAATGGAAGGATAAATATGGCATTATGTAATAAGGAAAAAAAAAAATTAAAAATATCTTGCTCGTGAAAATGCATGTTGTTCATATATTTTTTCGACCACAAACGACTAATTATTAGCAGAAACTTAATCATATCGTTCTATATGAGTAGAAATTAGATAGCCTAACGCATCAGCATTTAAATTTTGAAAGCATTGTGACTTCTTTATTTCTTTTAACGTATTTTCGATGGGTCATATCCTTTGGACCCATCCCTCCTTCAACCAATTCAATTAATTCATGGGGTTCAATTTCTAATTATCTTATAATACACGAATATTTTAATTTTTTTTTTTATTGAAATGGTTGGATCTGATTATCTTATAGCAAAAAGTGATATGGGTTAGATGAAGTATGAATAGGAAATCAAATTTAAAGAGTTAGATGAACAAATTTTGAAGCGAAATTATATTGGAGCAACAAATAATTGAAACCACGTGGGGTCTCTCCCATATCAAACATGTCATGTGGCATTCAATTTCTTGAAGGGATTCTCTCATATACCCATTTTATGTGTCCTTTTAAATTTGTTTTGGGTCAAACTAACTCATTGCAATACTCTTTGGAAAACATATAATTTTGATATTGTGCTTCCTCTTTTGGTGTTTTCCTCCCCATGTTCTATGTTTTGTTCATCGGGCGAAAAAGTTAAAATATTTGTACAGTTACGTGTTTCTATCCATTATGATATATAGAGTAATCAAAATTGATTGTTTGAACTTCTGATAACTCCAGTGATTGGAAAAATAATTTTAATCGATTAAGTATAAATTTGGATATTATGTATGATGAAATATTAAATTTTAAATTTGTATATAGTATATTCTTTTTTAAAAAAATATAGTTAATTTAGAGTGATTTAAATGAATTATGACAAATTACAGCCCACATTATTAATAGTTTAAAAAGGCCCACTTATAAGTTAGATTTGAGCTATTTGAGCCCAAATCCGGCTGGTAAATGGGAAACAAGCTCTCTTTTTTAGTTTGATTTGGGCTAGTTGAGCCCAAATCCCGCAGGTAAATGGGTAAACAAGCCCACTTTGTTAGTTTGAGTTGGGCCATTTGAGCCCAAATCCCGCTGGTAAATGGGTAAACAAGCCCAGTTTGTTAGTTTATTTGGGCCGTTTGAGCCCAAATCCTGCTGGTAAATGGGTAAACAAGCCCAGTTTGTTAGTTTTATTTGGGCCGGTTGAGCCAAAATCCCGCTGGGAAATCGGTAAGCAAGCCTAGTTTGTTGGTTTGATTTGGGCCGTTTGAGCCCAAATCTTGCTGGTAAATCGGTAAACAAGCCAGTTTGTTAGTTTGATTTGGGCCATTTGAGCCCAAATCCCGCTGGTAATGGGTAAACAAGCCCAATTTGTTAGTTTGATTTGGGCCGTTTGAGTCCAAATCCCGCTGGTAAATGGGTAAACAAGCCCAGTTTGTTAGTTTGATTTGGGCCATTTTTGCTGTTAACTTGTTAAAGAAGCCCACATTATCAGTCATATTTGGGCTTGTCGAGCCCAAATTCGGCTGGTGATTGGTTAAACGAGCCCACTTTATTAGTTGAACAATCGTTTTCAGTTTTCTTTCGGCCGATCGCCGTCGTAATACAATCTCTCTCTCGATTGTTTCAGTCCGGCGACGGCAGACATATAAAGTTGCTTTTACGATGTCCCCGCCGGCCGCCCACCAAGCCACCACTTCCGTCGCTTTATGCCGCCGATTCCTCGGACGATCTTTCTCGCTTCTACCGTGTTTTATCCCGGTGAGAACTTTAAGGAATTATAATTTATTTATACGCGAATCGGTTTTATCTGAAACTGAACCGGCCGGTCCATTTGGTTCTTATTTGAAGGTTATTTGTTTTGTTTTTATAAAGGGGTTGAATGATTTAAATAATCCGATCAAATAATTTAATTTAGATTAATTCGAATTCATCTAAATCCATCGTTAATTTTCTTTAAAAAAATTGTACATAGACTTTTAATTTATTTTATAATTGCTTATTCTCTCACCACTTTTAAATTTTAATTTAATTTAACTTCATTTAATAAGTAAATGTTTAATACAATATTTAATTTTTATTAAAAACAAATATTAAGAACCATTTTAACCCACTATAAAAAATTTAAACCAAGTCGAAAAAATGACTGAACTTAATCATGCACAAAAATACGAACAATTTTAACACAAATACAACTCTCTACAATGACATGATATTGTCTACGAGCATAAGTTCTCATGACTTTATTTTGGACTTCTCCCAAAGGTGTTGTACGAATGAAAGAGTATTATTTGATTATAAACACGATGATTCCCTAAATTAGACCATCTAATAAAAAAAAAAAATTAATTGATGACCAACCTATTTTATTCTTGGGAAAATATTGCTAATAAGTGATCGAGATTACTTTTAATGGATAATACCGCTTCTCTACGTTCACTTCTCAACCTATCATCATCTAATTTCATCACCGATTCTTATCTTTTACACTCCTCGCACTGGTGAGCTTAAACTCTAAAATTTTTCATTTCATTCATTTCTATTTCATTGATTCTCGCAATTTCTAGTTTCAGTCTGTTCCCCCCTACATTTATTTGGTTAAATCTACACAATTTTCCCACTTATTTCACTTTTTACAGCTTACCCATTTCTTTATTTCAGAGCTGAAGTATCCCAAAGAGTTTTTGAACTCCCGTGGAAGTGTATAGGGAGCAAGTGGCCGCAAACAATACTGTTTTTGGTGTCACACCCC